AGCTTGTAGGAATTCTGTGATATTCTTTGTGTTTCGTCTGTCAGAGATTTGCAGATTTTCAAGATTGATTAATGTCCGTTGTTATCGACGTGGATTGAAATGAGTGATGAAGTGTTGTGAGGTTGAATATCCAATTGGTTTTTATGTTGATGAAGGCGAAGACGACGACCACTTTGTCCAATGTAGTGTTGATCACAACTGTTGCAGTTGATTTTTGTGAATGATCTTTGGTTAGTGTTTTTTGTGTGTTGTATCGTTTGTTATGGATAATAATGTTGTTTTTAGGTAATTTGTTGGTTTGTTAGTCACAGGAATTTTGAGTGGTCAGAGTAATGTTGTTGTGAAGTGTGATGTGTTGTTTTTGTAGGTTAGAGTGATGTGTTGGTTGATTTTTGTGGATGATGTACAGGATAGGTATCTTGTGATGAAGTTTCGTAGGTAACCGTTGTTCTTTAAGGTGCAGATCAAGTGAAAATCTTTGGCGTAAGAAATACAATGAATATCAGATAATTCCTAGATGCTTGGCACTCACGTCAGTCATCGATACATAGATGCATAGAAACAGATGCAAGTTACCAACCAATGAGGAAAGTAATGAACAGCGAAAAGTTCAAAGCTCAAGCAGAAAAACAGCCGGTGAGAAAATCTATCCAATCAATGTTAGAATAACCGAAGAAATCAACCAATCAGAAAACACTTCATCAGGGGAAATAATTGAGTCACCCATAGGAGATGTTTACGCTTCACTTCCCGTTGACGTCAGTGCTGTGGATGATTTTGTATAGAAAGACAATGAAAGAGCTTCACAAATAAACCACCCAGCTCTGTAAATACAACACCGTCAAAATATTTTTGTAAAGTCGCAATGAATTCGAAGGCCATATTTTATTGATAATCAGTTTACCCAATACTCAACTTATTCAGCTCTATGAAGTCTAATTTTGATCCTGACGTCTGTAGAACTCATACCCATCGATTGAAGAGACTTCAGCTATCAAATTTATCTTGGACGGTATCATTTGTGAGAGCTGTACAATGAAAACTGATCAGTTTTTAAGGCTAATTTGTTGTTGACAGGAGAAGAAATGTAGATTGTTCTTTCTCTCATTGAATTGAAGAAGTTTGTATATCTTAGGAGAGTTATAATTCTCAAGGTCTGTGTACATTGAAAGATCATTCTCAGAATGGTTTGTGACTTCGAAAATCATTTTTATTAGTGGAATAATATAGTCACATATGAGAAGGATAGATAGACAAAAATATAGGATGGCATATATGACTTGAAATTGTAGATTGAATTCTGTTGTCTAATTTGGCATAGGGTGTGTGTAAAATCGATTATTTGGTTGTGAGAGACTTAGAATGGCGTTTTATTGGCTGAGATCTTTATCAATAATCAGAGAATCAGAAGTGGCCTAATGTTAGAATGGACAGTGAAGGTGAGGAATAGTTTATAGTTATTTGGGCTTTTATATACTGCTGTGGGAAGTCAGTACTTCTTGGTTGCTTGCACCGTTGAAAATGTTTCTGTAAAGTAAGCTAAAGATGAACTTCCATATAAATTCACATGCTGCTATGAAGTTAAATTATGTAGGCTATATCTGGATACAGGTTATTCAGTGTTGACACTCACACCTTCCAGCATGTCTCAGTGAAGGTAAATCCCGACCGAACAACAATTCCATTCTACAATATTTTGTAGCTTGTGAACACACAATATCACTCATTTTATTTAGTGTGGTTTACAGTAGGTTGTACCTGGACGTGTGCGGAAATGTTCACTGTTAATTGCTAACGCTTTAGCAATACAAACATGAAAACCCGAATTGTTCAACAAAAAACAATATGTAAACATTCTTAATCTCAAAATCCAACTAGATCTGAATCGGTTTAGCCATGGGTTGTCTCTTAGGATCAGTACTAGCAGATATTTCTCTGCTATATATATTGAAAATCTGGCTGGTGAACTCATCGTTGAAATTTTTCTTTACAAGAAATGTATGAATGATATCATAGTGATTTGTGAAAGACATCAGGATATGGCGTGTCTACTAAAACGTCTTAACACATACATGTTAGCCTGACTTTTGTGAAAGAGAATAATCATCATCTGCGATTACTCAATGAACGAGAAGATGGTTCAATAAGACGATCAGTTTACAGAAAGCCATTCATCATCCCAATGTTTATCTTAGTACATGTATGTAAAATTGATGAAAAATAATTCTCTTTTCAATGGAATCATTTTTAGAGGTTATACAATCATAATCATTAATTACAACAAAATATATATGTCTATCAATAGCTAATTGGTTACTACAAGGTCATCGAAAGCAATCACTGAGGTCACAAAGTGATTATGGTTAGATGGTCAACCCAAGGTCATCGAAAATTGCCTATAGGATTACAGTAAATCAACAAATAATAAATAAATAAATATGTAAAATGTCATAGGTAGATTATGATAAAGGTAAAATTAGAGATTGAAGGTATCTCTTGTGAACTGAGAGATGAAGGTAGAACCTCTAAATTGCCAAGGTGTTCTGGTGTGTTGTGGTATGGAATTTGCACTTCCTTGGAAATGTTTGATTTGATTTCCTAAATGACTTTGAAATGCGATTCTGGTGGAGGAAGTTGACTAGAATAAAAGAGATGCTGAATAGTCGATCTGTTGATGACTTTACACTCTACTTTAGATAGGCATACAGGGTAGTGGAGTGGATGCGTTTGTATGGAGTATGCTTTATACGGTAAATGTAACGAGTTATCCCATAGTATGTGAGTTGATCGATATGCTTTGAGGTGGCCTGAGGCGCTAGTTTTTCGTTTATACAACACTGTTGTATCAGTTATTGACTAGAGAAAACATTCTGAAGTTGGATGGCAAGGAAGGTGTTCTTCAATGCTGTACACTATCTATTTTTTATGATTATCTCTGCTCATACATCTCTTTTGAATTCAATAATGTCTTCTCGAGAGTGTTCAGACTTCGTCTTCCTCTCAATGAATTTTGAAGGATAACTATTCTCGGTGAACACTTTCCAAAGTACTTCTACCTCATTTTCTGCATCATCTGTATACATTCTTGTGTATTTACTTAGAGAAGATAATATATGTCATTTCTGAAAGTGTTGGATTTCGATTAGAAACTTTAGTACCACTTGTCAAACTTCATTAACAATTACAGCATAGCTTTTCGCTTTTAAGGCAGACGTTTCCTAATATCTTTTTATCAAAACACAAGGGATGATCTCTGCATATATTACTTATCTTTGTTGATATATCTTGATTCTTACTTTTGCATCTTGGCAAAATCAACAGTACAATTCTTTACCCGGATTCGCGATAATCTCTCTTCGACCCTTATAATAACTGACCAATATTTCTACTATTATCATGGGGCTTCACATAATAAACATGTCTTATTATTACGATTGGCATGACCAACTACTTTGACGATATGGTTAGAAGGTGCGATCACGTTTTGAATTGACAGATATTTTTCTTTCATTGGAGTGGATGTTATCTGTTACCTAGACAGACTAGTCTAATAAATTCCTGTCATCAGATTTTGTCTTTTTATCTTGTTATCCTACTTGAAAATGGATTAGTGATACGCCACTTTCTAAGCTCTCTAGTTTTGTGGCATCCTGACCAAGCACTGAGGTGTTGACTGACTGTGGCTGTTTTCGTCTTGCTGAAGTAAATCATAAAAAAAACTTTCTTCAATTCAACCTTTTTTTTAAAGCATAAATTCTTTTGTTTGAAGTTAGTATTCATGCATTTCTCACCATCCAAGTGCAAATTGTTGCTCCGGAATCGGTCTTCAATGGTGCCACGACTAACAATTGAGAGTGTAGTGGTTGAGTGCATCGACCACTTTACTTACCTGGGAAGTAAGATCTGCCGTGGTGGCTCAGTGGCCGATGAAGTCTCTGCACGAATACAGAGGACTTGGCTAGCTTTTGCCAACTTCCGCCACCCGTGGCACCGCCGTGATATCTGATTGTCTAGGTCGCGTATACTGCACAGCAGTCTACTCTGTTCTACTGTATGGCTGTGAAACATGGCCATTGAAGGTGGAAGGGGTCAGAAGGCTTGAGGTGTTTGACTACCGTTGTCTTCGTTGTATAGGCCGTACTCCGTTGTGTCACCATATGAGTAACGCAGAAATCAGGTATAGAGTTTTAAATAGGAGAGATTAGTCAGTTTACTAAGGTTGTGAACTTTTATCGTCTGAGATGGTTGGGACATGTATTACGTACGCCTAGTTACCGTTTACCTCGTCGCACAATGTTGACTGAAGTAGGCCCAGGCTGGGAAAAGGCCCGAGGTGACCAGACTAAAACATGGCATCATTGTATGAAGTGTTTGACTGTTGGTTTGAGTCATGTGGGGCGATGCAGACTAGGTGGTTGGGGTCCGCGGGACAAGAGAAACCTGTGACTGGAGACTGACTTTTGGTGATATGGCTGAGAACTGATGTCCATGGTGCAGATGTATACACACATTATCTTCATCCTAATTGCCATACTGAATCTCACTATTTTCTCATTCTTCACTTCTCTCTTTTCGTACTTTACATTTCGTTTGACTGTATTTTCTTTTCTTCATCTTCCACTTCACTCCCTTTTTACTTGACGTACTGACATATGAAATTCGGCAACTCGGGGCGTCACGCAGTAATGACTGGTTTTATGTTGCTTTAGGATAGGTGGATAGAGTATTCATCATAAACTAACATCATTTGGGGAAACACTAGAAACCTGGGAGCACTGGGTATCTGTTTCCTCATAGTATGGGGCTAATTAGCATTGCGGACTCATCATTCCGCCAGGGATTCAATGTTTCTGCAGTTGATGTCAGTCCATATGAGTACTAACCTGTAATGGGTAAATAAATCCCTACAAATGTCCAAATTGAATAAATTCGTTTAACATACGCATTCTTTCGTACATATCATTTATTGTTACTGTTAAGTTTTTTTATATATATTTCAGAACTTATGAATCCGTATACAAAGCAGTTGAATTTCGATTTTACCAATGTATTTAGAAAGTCCAGAGTATATAAAACATTCATTTGGATTTTCGCATAGTTTAACAACATCGGCGTCATCGTTGAATAGATTTGGACTGTAAGTAAATATGTTTGAATTGATTTTCAATTAATTAATACCTAGTTTTAGCGCGCGCTTTCTCTCTGTGTGTGTCTTCTGTTACATTTTTACTTACTTCGCTAATCTCTCTATCTATAGCTTCTTTCTACTGTCTTCCAGATCGATTTCATGTTCACTCACTGATATTACCAATTGTTAATAGCCTATCTTCATCTGCCCTTGTTGTCGTCATTGTTCCTAGAATAAACTCTCGGAGGTTGGTCATTAGAAGTGCATGAGATATGACTTTTACCTGATAGAATTTAAAGGTTTTTATAACTCCACCTAGTGTGGTTATCTTCTGAATTGCATGATTGATAATATTTCTCAGAATTGGTTTCAGCGACAGAGATGTATCCACACATCATTTTAATCGTCTTATCCTATTTCCTTAGTGTTCTATCCCTTCTTTCTCTCTTTTTACAATCTTCTACTACTTTAAACTACGTTCTCCCTCATTTCTTCATCTTGATGCCTTCCAGCTTGATGTGCTGATCTGATATATAGCAAATTGAATCATTATGCAATAATGTAATGACCTATGCTGACATTTACTGATACGCTACAAATACTGTTATGACAAGGGGAAGATACATGACCTGCTTAGTTGGGAATTTCACATCCAACCTCAGTAATACAGCCGTAAGCTTTTTAATGATGTTTACGAAATATGGGATCGATTTTGTAGTACAGTACAAATTATTCTGACTGTTTAAATATCAAAAGTGTTTAATCCCTGAAAACTGCAATGTCACTTACTTATTGTCTCCTTTTTATTTACATTTTGGATAATATCATCTTGGAAACCACTATTGTACGGTACATCTACTGCTTACTTCTAGAAGTTTATCCGGAATATCTTTGATTGTAAAACTGGAGGAATTATTGTAATGATACTTGAAATTTCCCTTGGCTGTACAAGACTGAATTGTCCAATATCTGTTGGCAAATGGGCTCGTATACGGACATTATGCAGTTGCATCTGGCTGAAGAGCCCAAAATTGGACGAAATACGGCTTCTGTATTCCTCTGTTAGTCACCATGATCAATGGAAGAATTATTGTTAAGTTCAACAAACTATGTTAATGCATAATTAGTTTACGTGAATGTGCAGTTTGTGAACAGTTTGAAAATTTGATCATGAATTTGAAAGAATTTCTAACTTTTCATGGGTGTCAGTTGCCTACAACAACTAACTAGTTTATCGACTTAGTCAATGTTTTGGTCAGAATGCTGATCAAAGTTAGTGTTGACCAAGTGTAATTTATGTTATTTTCGTTAGGTGCTATTTCGCTGGACTGCCACTTTTTTTCGGTCAATCATTTCTAAGCTACTTTAGTCTATCTGTAACAACACAGTCATAGGACTGTGACTGATTAGTCCTGGTTCCCTCATGCATATTTCATATTAACGGTACAATCCAATCTGTTCAACATATCAGTCATTGAAACCATTATACTGTGTTATCTTTGGCGAAATATTATGATACTGGATGATAATTGAAGATGAGATGAAAATTTGGATCGCTGCTCCGGATTCGAACCACAGACCACTGGGTTTCCGACTCAATGATATGCGGCCCGATTGCGACCAGATTTTTGTTTCACTTCAATCACCAAGGGTTTCGCCTGACTACCATATGAATTCGTGACGCATTACTACCACTTGATCGTATTCACACTGGCTGCTGCCTAGTCAGAACTTCTCATCCAATCCAAATGTAACTGAATCAGAGAGAGGGGAGCTTCATATCGATTATCATTTGACTACCTGAATGAGATGGGCGTAGTTTGGCAGACTAGTATTTATACTGAGTGATGATTGAAAGTGAGATGAAAATCTGGACCACGGATGGATTCGAACCAGCAACCTTCGGGTTATTAATTTTCATTCTGGCAATTTCACAATGAGTTTCAACTGTAGAGATTTATGCGCATATATGGTCATGTTAAGTGAACATTACCCTGTTGTCGGTGTATAGGTGAAGTTCTCACTGACTTCTACAATTTGCTTTGAAACTGTGGGTGACGCATTGAAACCTGCTCCATCTGGGCTACTGGGTGAACGAGTAAATAAAATGGACTTGGAATCTTCGAGCATATTGGTGCAGTAGGCAATGAACCACATTGATTAGGTGATGACTACCTGGCTGCCGAAACCTCGCTAGGTGAAGTAGTGTTCAAAATTGTGATACACTTCTTTGAAAGTCAGCTTCCTAAATCAATGAGCTACAGCTCCACTTTTTGTCTTGGTTAATGGGCAGCCTTTAAATTACAGTTGTCGCTTATCCTGTTAGGTGAAGACTCTGACAAAATACAGGGCCTTGAGCAGAAATCTGAGTATGTTTGGTATGCATTTCGCCTGCACCTGGTAAGATGTAAGATGATGCTGCAGGACTGGTCTTCTACAGGTACTCCCAGTTTAATGATAACTTCACTTACTTGGAGAATTGCATCAATTCCAGCAGTCTGGTTGTTGACGAAATCTCAGCTCGGATACTGATGACCCGTTTGGCATTTACTAACTTGCGTCACGTGTTACGCCGACTGGCGAAATATCCGAGTATGTATCAAAGGACGAGTTAACTGTGTTGCAGTCTGTTGTGTCCTGTTATACGACTGTGAGACATAGCCCTTAAAAGTAGAAGACATTAAGGGGTTACGGAGTTTTGATCACAGATGCTTGGGTTTGGTGTAATCACCGTGGGAGCAGTATTGAGGTCAGACGAAGGGTACTAGGGAAGTAAGCAAGTTGGTTGATGAGGTCGTGAACCTTCATCGACAGAGATGGTTTGGACCTGTGTAACCCATGCTGATCCACCGCCCACTCTGACATGTCATTGGATTAGGTTGAGAAATGATTCAGGGTGGATATACCAAGACGTAGCACCAGTAGATGAAGTCCCTGACTGTCGTCTGGAGTTATTTCGGGAGATATAGACTACCCAGTTGGTGTTCCTGAGACGAAAAAAATCAGTGGTTGAGGACTTTTGGTGACATGACTGAAAATCGGTCACAGTGGCGCAGATGTATTCACTCCTTGACACTTGATCCATTCACATCATTATGCTAACAGTTACTTTTTGGTTGCTAGTTCAATTATTTCAGTTTCTATCCATTCCACGCTTCTTTTACCATGTTTATGTGTGTTTACTAGTTTACTTAAGCTATAGTTAGCTATTTCACTTAATAACTTTTATTTCCTTTTTAACGTTACTGAAGAAAAGAATAAAATTGTGTGTGTATCCTTATATTGCTCCTATTGGTGGGATCCTGACAATATTGCACCAGTGATGTAATCATGTCACATGTCCTCTGTACATTCATGGTTAGACTGAGACATGACATCAGTGGATGAAGTCCTTGACTGTCTATCTGAGTCGTGGTACGGGGGGTACAGACTACCTGACTGTGCTCCCCGAGATGAAAGGAATCATAGTCGTTGAGGACTTTGGTGATATGACTGAGAATCAATCATGATTGGGCAGGTGTATTCATTCTTTGATTTATTTTTAAGCTTGAGTGTTTTAACTGACCTTACTTTTCAAATTCTCTCTCGCTCATGCACCCTTGTCTAATTTGTTATCGGTCCTTTCTATCCACTTGTTCTTTGTATACTACTGTGAAGTGTGATAGCTTGAACTGATGAACCTTTTTCTTAGGTTCTACGTTGAATTTCTCTGTCTGCCTATCTGTCTAGAGTGAGTTAGCTTTCCCTTCACATCGAAAGTTAATTGATGTGATAAAATCAGCGCTATATGTAGGAAATGAGACTACATAACATTGACTATTATCCAGTGACTGATATGTATATTTCGTTTATTTCTCCAACTTGTTATATACTAACTCAATAGTCACTCTGCTACCCAAATGTTAGGGCATGGCCTAATATATGATAAAGCAAGCAATTCTTTAGAAATCCTTTCACATATGGCAATCTATCTATAGTTACTGCTCAAAACTTTATATCTACCAGTTTTAAATGAACTTTACTTACTAAATCCCATAAAAATGATGAATCAGGCTTCTCGTGGATTCAAGTAACATTTAGATTATAAATACTTGATCAGTCCATATTCCTTGCAAATACCTGACATTCATAGATATATTTCGATGTTCAACGACTATAATGGTGAACGTACTTCTTTTGTGGAAAAGGACATACAATACTTCGAAAAGAAGCAACCGTATAGGTTAGTCATCGGAAAGCTTTAGTCAGACGAAAGCAATCATAACATTTTGGTGACAATTGTAAACTGTCCCAGCTTATCTGACTCACTAGCAATAGGAAACCTTGTGTTAGTGAAACAGTCTATGAGATAATTGATTTCCTGATTAACAAACTTAAAAGACATCTGAAAATCTGATTGAAACACCCCCCCTACAAGGAATTTAGCTGCAGCACTGTTTTAGCTGATTCAGTTTCATTGTATTTTTGCCTCATGGTCAGTTAATACATTTGCATCGAATGTAATGGAGGTTACGAAAGACGTTTACAACACTGGAGACATGACTATGGTCAGTGGACTGATTAGAATATTTGAAAAATCTGGAAGACTAAATATTCTATCACTGTAGAATAAGACCGTAGTTGTGTCCATGTTTATGGTGTTGATTTGATGAGTAGAGTTTCAGTGATCAACCTTTCCATCCTTCATACCATAGAAAGTTTAAGAATTGTTATTTGGTGTCCACCCTGTTGTATCATTACATGCATAGCAATGAATGGTTTCTCTTCTAGAATTTTTGTCTTGATAGTTTATTTATAATCATCTCTCAGTTAATTTGCCTTGGTTTCTTTCCTTTTTATGTTTCACTACACGTTTGTGTGACAGATCTCCTAAGCGTTCCTTACGACGTCTATCACAAAATATAGGCGGATCTCAACAACAGACTAGTCTCTTTGGAAGTGCATTCATGAATGTTTTCGGCAGCCAATCTGGTAAGTTGTGGACGTGATTACCTTTGACTTTAGTATTTTGAATAGTTTCAACATCCTCTGCATGTACTGAGTTGTATTACTTTTATAACTTTTTATTGTCTGTCCCTTGGGTTCCTAGTGGAACATACGGCTTCAATAGCACGTCACCATTTCACTTTGTTCTCCCAAGTCTTTCTAACCTGACTCCATGACTGCCCATAAGCATTTATATTTTCCTCACACCATCTACCCCATGTCACATTCGGACACCCAACTCATCGTTTCCCATTCTGGTCCCACTGCACAGCATGCTCTGGAGTGTGTTATCCTCAAACAGTCTTCTCCGTCTATGTCGAATCCAATCCAATCGAATCCATCTCCACTTTCTGGTTGTGCACATTTGTTGGGCGATAGGTTGTTGTCTGGTTGGTTCGTTGCGAGAGTGATTTGCTTGTTGGTTATTGTTATTATTCTGGACGTCTGATCTGATCTAATCTGATCTTATCTTCAGTATGGAGTGGGCGTAGGCGGTAGTTGTTGATGTATTTGTGTAGTTGGTTGGAGATGGTTTTGGTAATGCGTGAAGTCTGTGAAGTATTTGGAAGGAGTGACTTGACTGAGGTTAGTGTTGAAAATCGTGATGTTGTTGACGCTTTATTCTGAGTGTATTGGAGTGCAGTAGACGTTCACACTGATTTCAGATTAATGCAGGAAGGTGTGTTTTGTTGTCTTTTGGATGTTGGGTGACTTTGACATCGTGACGTGTGCCTGTATCGCTTGTAGTTGATACGATGCTGCATAGTTGGTTGGGTAGTTGGGTAGATGAAAGAGACAAGTTTGTTAGATTTCTCCCATTGATGTTGCTTGTTGTTGTTGGTTGGTTGATTGGGTATGTTCATCACCTGTGTCTTGTGTATGTTAACGTGAATGAAGTCTTGTGTTTTTTGTCCTGGTTGTTCTGGTAAGTTGTTATTTTTGTGCTATAGATCTTCGAGTTTGTGCTATATTAGACATGAATCATGATTGTGGAGATGGAAATGTTCAAGTGTGTTTTGATTGGTGAAGCAGCGTGTGTCTATCTTCTTGCTCCTCATCGTTTGTTGTATGATGTAGTCTAGTGGACGGTAATGAGGAAGATGATGGGTGATAGTAGGTGGCAACCTTTTCTTGTGTTCCTCCTGTCTTCACTTGAAAGACATGACTGAGCTTTCCATTGTGAATCACTTAGCATTTAGCATCATATAGCCTCTAGCTGTTAAAAGAGGTTGATAAGGGTTCGTGGTATTCGTATTGTTGAAGCAGCTGCCAAATTACTTCTCGTTAGACTCTGTCGAAGGCTTTTTCAAGGTCGCTGAAGTTGAGGTAGAGAGTTGACTTCCATTCTATGCTCTCTTTGTTCTATGATCATGCGTATCGAATCGCTGCAGTTTGATCTGCACCTGATTTGTTATTCCTGTAACCAGCCTGGTACTGAGTTGTATACCAATCGAAATTAACAATGAAAGGAGATCTCCAACTGGATATACTAATGGTTTCATGTAATTTTTACCAATTATGATAATGCTACTTGATTCGTATTAAATTTATTATATGTTTACTGGCAAACTTATATGATTTGTATCGGGTAGAGGCAGGGAGACAAACTCAACAGTTTCACTCTCGATCATTATAAATTGCTTAATCCATTCCTATTCATTAATAATTCGAAGTGAAATCAGCTAATGAGACTGAGAAACTTCATCAAATGAGGTAGCTCCAACGTGTATTGTGGATACCAAGTCGCCACCTACTTTGGAGCATAATAACACCCTAACTATTACTGAGTTATAGGAAAACTCAGGGTGATCAGACTATGATGTCTTTCACTTTTGGTCTGAGTCCCATAATGCAGGTATAGATTTCCTACTTAGGCTTGTCGAGATGATAAGAAGCAATAGTTGGAAAGGCTTAGTGGTATTGGAAGCAAATTGGTCACAGTGGCACAGATATATTCACTCTTTGACATCTTCGAAACCTCTGTTTCTTTTTCCCTCTTTCCTTCTGTACACTTTGACTTATTTTAGCACCACTTTTTTCGTCCACTTCGTCTCTGAATTGTAGTATGTGTTGTTTCAACTTGAACTGATAGCCCTCTGTGTCAGGTTCTACGTTGACGTCTCACTTTTGTGCACACATGCGTTGCGCTACAATTATCGCCTTCATAACTACTCCATCACTAACGCCGGCATAATATCCAACTGGTTAATAAGGGTCTATTATACTGCGCACAGTTGACTCGCTTTTATGTGACTGTGAAATTTGACCATCAACAGTTAAACATGAAAAGAGGATTCAGTTGTTCGACCACAGTTGCCTTCTTGACATAGATTGGGTGTCAGGGAACCACTACGTCAGTAAGATAGAATTCAGGTATAGAGTCTGAGAGAGAAGAGGAAAGTCGTTTATGAGGTTGTAAGCTCTAAACAACTCAGATGACTTGGATATGTGTTACACATGTCTGGTCACCGTCTGCCTCGTCGTCCGATGTTGAGTGGAGTAGGTTTAAGCTAGGGAAAGGTTAGCGGGGGTCAGATTAAATCATAATATCGGTCCATGAACTGTGTAGTCTAAGCTTTCGCGTAACAACCTGAATCGATAGTTGAAGACTGCAGGGGGAAATATAGCTCATAAATCGATCTTGGTGGTGCAAATGCCTCCACACATTATCTTCTACCTAGTCATCTTAACTAGTTTCCTTAGTGTTCCATTCCTTCTTCTTTTTCTTCTCTTTTCACGACCTTCTGTTGCTATGTATTATCTTACTTCTCTTTTTTTCATATTTTATCATGATGCCTTGATGTGCTGATGTGAGATATGCAAACTTAGACCGTTACGAATACTGTTATATCGTATGTTGTAATAGACTGACTGACTGTCACCGTAACTAAGAATGAAGAAGTACTTATTTATGTGTTTTTTGAGTATCGAAGATGTATACACCTGTTAACATCGTCTTGTTCAAAATCTAAGGTTATCGATCGCTTGGGGGGGGAGGGGAAACCTAAACTGAATCTTGATCGTTAGCTTTACTCTGTGTGGATGGTTCGATCCTGATAATTCGAAGACCGTTGGCTGAAATCTTGCACTGATCTAGGCTTTCATTCCTACTTGAATCATTATCTTCCTACATTAAAGATGGAGTTATACCACACTGTAATTTCTCTTGGGTTGTAACTGCACTGTATTTATTTCGGCGTAGACGATAGGGTGGTATCATAGGCCGTCACTCAGTAGTCTTGTAGTTATATCTGTTCTATGTTCAGTTGCATTGACTCTCATATATAATTCAGCCTGCCATACTAAGGAAATTTCACCTATAGCTATCACTCGACAGAGTGGAATGCCTCCTGCAGGTGAAGACGTGTAGCAGTTATCGACCGTCAGTAAGTACATCTTTGTTACAATACAGGACCTGTTGAGGGTAAAGATCTGATCGATACACCTTCGCTCAGGTCTGAAACCTGCTTGGTTTTCTCATGTTTGTTGTTCTCGACATCAAGTTCGGTATCAGCTAACTATGAACCATAGTATCCTTAACATGATATTAGTCAACCCAATCCACTGTGGTCGTCGTGCAAAGACTCAAATAAACTGGGGTTATTCATCATTTAGACTGGTACGGTGCCACTACCTCTGATTCCCACCTACTTACTACTATTTTGGTTCCTCCAGTATGTAATTTTTATCTTTATTCTTGAAAGCTTTTAGTGAAAAACCATCTAATCCTGCTAATTTGCATCGTTCCGAGTTGCAAATAACCTTCTCGACTTTGAGGAGGAATAGCGGACTGACAGTCGCGTCCATTCAGGTCCGAACTGGATGTCAGGTGACTGTGGCGTGGGTGTAAGCCAGATGAACTGTTTTTTCCGCTTGTTCCATACAATGTTATAGTTACCTGTTTTGAAGGGCTATCATGAACTTATCTTTCTCGGTAATAGTGTCACTGACTGTCGTCTTCTTGCAAGTTTTCTAAATAAACTGAAATAACTGCAGCGTATGAACTATTGCTGATGTGTTATGCACTTTATTCACTTTTACTGTCAACCACTGCTCGTGGTCATTGCAGAGACGCTTAATCAATTTGCGTTCAGGCTGCTTTCACTCCTTCATATGGTCAGAGTCGACTCCAACGATTCTTCTCGTATCAATCAGTTAGAATAGGGTAATGAAAAGCGAACTGACTTTCCCCGCTTTGGGATGTGGGTTACTGCCTGTCTTTTACAACGGAATTAATCCTATGCTAAGCTTCATCAGGAATGAAATTAATTCGATTTTCAGACGAGTGTTTAGCTACCTCCTCGCTAAGCGTATACTTATTTTTCTCATCTGCCAATCGATCAAAGAGAAAGGCTTGTCACACAAAGCCACTTGGGAGTATTAGGATTGTGTTATACCTTCTCTTGAAGAAAAACGTCATACAGTGCCACTGAAAGTGTGTAGGGCATTGAGAAGTTTGTCGCCACAAGCCTCATAATCAGAAGTATACTGTCAGTTTCCTATTACAGCGTAAATTATTTACACTGATGGAAACTGGTTGTAGTCTTACCTCTGGCTAACAGATCCAGCACGGTAGAAACCCGCGTAAAAATAGTTTCAGTCAGCTAAGCCCGTTGAATCATCGGGGTATGCACGCTCAGCCATCAAAACAAAATAGCAGATGACAATAAGGTTTTTTGTGGAACCACTTCTGTAGAGTCTCCACTAGCCAACAGAAAGGAAAATATACTTTAGCTTGATGTCACCCGTCCTGATCGTTTCATTGCCACGCATTAATCAGTGATAGGATACGTGACCAATTCATAAAATGAGGAACACCTTAAAACCACCAATCAATACCAGCAAAATACCAATCAAGTTACTGTCAGTTGTGATTAGTGACTAGCAGAGGAATCCAGGTTGATGCGCGTTTCGTCTTATTTGGGACTCGTCAGCTGGATGTGCCTGTACCCCAGTGAATAATGTTACTCCCAATGAGGCTTCAA